CATTCAGAGGTATTTGTAATGCTTTCTAACAGCATCCTGAAGGCAGATTAATAATGTAATCGAGACATCAGTTAGCTTATATTCTGGATCTATGCTTGTATGCTTAGAAGCAGAATTTGGTCACTGCTCATTCCATGTCTAAAGAGAACAATAAAAAAATCAAGAGGCTGAATTATTTCTCTTTTTTCTACAAGGCTGGAAGGTAGGGGAGGGAGTTGAAATTGCTCTCACAGACAGGCTACCCTAGCAAAGAAGCAGGAAAAATGGAGTCCTTTTGGCCTGGCTTCTTTCATTGTACATACCCAAATTCTTTATTGCAAGGTTAAGACTTTTACTCTGGTATCAATAACACACACCCAGTTTAAGGATTAGGCACTGTCCAGAGCAATGTCTCTTTTGCCTTTGCTCTAAATCAGGTCATGATCTCACCCTGTTTGCATTATTTACATCAGTAAAAAGAGATCTTTAGAACTTAACCTTGCCCCTGCCCCTGGGAGATTTTTGCCTGCACTAGGACAGCAGAACATAGCTACACACTGACTCCTTTTGCATCACTTCTGAATGTACACAAGTCTGGATCCTGCTCTCACAAAACTTCCATTAGCTTCACTAGGGGCATGAATGTGGCACATACTTAAAATACAATATAATCCATGGGACTTGCTGCTACAACAAAGCTCAGTCAGAGGTCTGCTGAAAAGCCAGAGCAAGAAATTTCACAATTGAGTGAAAGACATTTCAGCTCGGACATACCTTTCAAATCCTGCTGTATGTTTCCTCCTTTCTGGGAAAGTCGCTGGGAAGGGAGTCACTCTCTTCTCCATTGCCCTTGGAACTTTAATTAGTATTGCTTTGGTTTATTTCAAAAGAAGCTATTAAAAAGCAAATAAAGTGTCTTGTGAGACACTACAGAGAGAAAAAACAGGGTAACACAGGAAAAAATGCTGTGAATTGAAATTGAAAAATGGAAAGAAAAGTATAGGTGAGGTATTTTTCCATGTAATTTCTTCCAGGATTCTGCTCCTCCTTTTGTTTCGTCTGTGATGTCTATGACTTGCCATTCATATTCCATCCCTATGCTTGGAAATTGCTCTCCATCAAGTGAAAGGTGAAGGAAAACAAAAAAAAAAGTAGAACATGTGGGGAAGACATGAAAGGGTGCAGGGAGGAGGAGACTTATTGAGTGTAAAGGTGTCCAAAGGAGATGGAAATGTGTTCCCCAAGGCCATGGTCTTCAATGGTGCTGCTTGTATTTTCAGGCTGTAGCATAGCAGATGTATGAGAAGAGCCAGACTTCACATGCTACAGTAAGTGCAAAATCTCAAAATGCAGAAGCCATCACATCAAGGGTTTCCTTGTACCTTGATATAGTCCGCCCACAGTGGTTCTCTAGAAACAGTTCTATTATCAAGTAGACATCCATTGCTTTTTTGTTGTTTTTTTTTCTATTTTTTTATTTAAAAAGTAGTTTTTCTAATAATACATAGAATATATAAATAATAATAATAATAATTAAAAAAAACTATTTGGGTTTGCTGTCTGTTCTCCAACCCATCTGTATTTTTTGTGGTTTGCTGATATATATATTAAAAGACAAGAAAATCAACTCTGCTCACTATTAAAAAAAATATTAAATCCACTTTTTATGTTTCCAAAGAGAAAGAAGAGGAGGGGAGGTGGGATAAAACCAAATTAAAATTAAAAAAAAAAAAAGAAAAAAAACCCCGGAAAATCAAAAACCTTCTGTCTCTTCAAAGTAGTTGTCAAGAGCTTTAAATGTTTGTGCTTTCAGTGTACACCCCACAGGGAAAACATAACAAAAATAACAAAAAAAAAAAAGGGGGAGGAGAAAAAAAAAAAAAAAGCAACCAACCAAAAACCCAAGAGGACCTAAAATTAAAAAAAAAATAAAAAGGTAATAATAGTCTTAGTAGTGAAAAGGACAGCTCAGAGTTTCTGTGTCTTTTTAGTTATTTTAGCAGCCGCCCTTTTTGTCTGCAGAGGGAGACCTGCCACCACAGCCACCTCCTCGGCTCAAGAGAGGCTCTTCTGCATCATCCTCGTCAAAGCCATGAAAGGTCGAGGTGTCGCTTTCTGACGTGGAACCGAACAAGTCCTCCGTAGTGCGTGCTGGCGCTGCTTCGTCCCTCCTGCCTTCTCTTCCCAAATGAGCTGACATGTATGATGAATATATCAGCACATGGGTTAAGCAACAGGCATCATCATCATCATTTTTTTCATCATTTTCATTATCATTAAACAAGTCAGACTATCAAGCTCATAGATGTGTGCTTGTATGTGCCCGTGCACCCCAACAACACAACATAGGTAGAACTGCAGTAAGAAAAATAATAAAGTATCAGTTTCTCTTTCCAAGAAAAAAAATCTACAAACGCCACAGGTGCCCATAGCTACAGCAGCGAAAGGGTTAATCATGTTTTCCTCTCTTCAAAAGACAGTAAAATATTTCCTCGTTATTACTTAGATCAATTTTTATATATTTTTAGACCGTGTAAGTAATGACACACTGTTAGGCTAAGCACAACGGCATCAACAGTCACAAATTTTCTGCTATAGAAATGTAAGCCACTAGATACCTCATCCAGCTCAGGACTACTTTTTATCCCCATTCTTCACCTGATCCTAAAGAACCTCCTCTGTAGACAAAATGAAATACATTTTGAAGACTAAGTGGAAGTAACCTAACCAATACTTCAATACAGATTTCATGTCATGTCCTTCAAAAATAAAAAAAAGTCCCAAAACTAATATATACAGTTCAACAACTAAAACAACTGAGATGAGGAGTAACCCATCTTGGGAAACACTGAAAAGTTCAAATTTGTGTGAGTTAATCCAACTTTCAAGATAGAACAGGAAATTCTCCACACAGAGTATCAATAACGGCAACAACCATAAGAAGACTCCTAAAAAGAGAAGTCATATACTGAAATCTGTGAAATTGAGGTTTGTTTTCTCTCTTAGTCAAACTTTTTATGTGATTAATAGTACGACCTTCAAATTCCCTCTTTAGGGAAGGTAGAGAAAAAGATATCTCTTGTGCCCCAGCAAAATTGAAGTGTGAGATTTTAGGGAACAGCTGTTTTTTCATTCACAACCAGTAGCATGGCATTAAGCAACCAACTGTGGGGTCCCTGCTGCAGCTACAGGAATCAGCCATATAACAAGTACACTGCATTGCTTGAGACAGAAAGAAGTAAATCCTGTTCACAAAAAAGAAAATGAATATAACAAAATAATTGGCAGATAAACCATATTGTAGAAATGTGATTTTACTGACTTTGTGAACAGAAGAAGCAATATAATTTCCATGACCTCTCTTTCAGTGTAATGAAAAAGTTCTCCATTTTTATAAAAAAGATGGCAGACACCAAAGAGGTTTCATTGTTTTAGTTTAGAGATTAATGTGTGGTTATACCTTAATCACTTTCATCACACATCAGTCACAGCCTTGCAGACCCTACGAATGACCCAAGCGGGTCAGAATTTGTAGAAGGATAGCATTTAATGGAACTGATTTTGCACAATTTAGGCTACAGGCTGATCTACTTGTTCTATCACACTAAGGAATCAAGGGAATTAACGTATTTGTGTTGCATTCTGATACAATCACCATAGCAATGTTTTAAGTAGCAATAAGATATGGATCCATCTCACTGTGCCATATCAGGAAAATGCTGAATTTAGTTATATGAAAATATAACAACCAAGGCGAAGGGAAATGATCTTCCAAGATGGCACCACAGACCCCAAGGACTTCCCCCTTCAGTTATTAGAAGCAATCACGTGTACACTAAAAGGTCCATGTCTCTGACTGCACAACAGTAATAAGGATGCCCCTGGGGAAAACCAGAAGAGTTGCCATTGATCCTCTGGTGACCAGTATCATTTCAGAATATCTTCAGAGGTCACAACAACTGCAGAAGGCAATTTCAGTGAGAATCTAATTGTTCTCCCATTGAAGGTGGTAATAGGCTTACTATGAATTTCAGCAGAAGCATAAAAAGGCCATTTCCTTGGTATGAGAACATTCCACATCACATTTCAGCCATGAAGCAACAGACATCTTTCAGTGACTACAGTACAGAAGGAGCAGCATTCATACCGAATTTCAAGGCCTCTTTGGTTTTCAGATTTCTGTATGACCATCTTATTAGCACTAGCATCACCACTATACAAAAATATCACAAGTAGAAACTTGGACCAATGCTGGAATATGTAGTTGTTAAAGGTCTCCCAATTCCCTCTACCACCACCACTACCTCCTACGTGAGCTATAAATAACTGTTCAGCTGGTATAAATTTTTTTTAAAAAAAAGCGAAAGGAAGAAAAAAAAAAAAAGAAAGGAAGGAAGAAAACAACAGCCCAGAAATAAAGACAACTCAGAATGGGAAAGACACAATTGCCTACATTTAAAAAGAGAGAAGGGAAGAAAAGGGAGAAATAAAAACCTCTTTAAACAAAACTAATGATAGTCATCTTGTAAGAGGATAATTCTTGACAGCTAGCCCCATACCTACCCTGTAATTTTCTCCCTCTTTCTTTTTTGGATGAAGAAATGCATGAAATGTGTAATCAATGGGAATGCTTGTCATGCAACTTTCATAAATCTTGTAAGTAATTTATAGTTGTAATTGCAGCATTTGAAGACAGAGACCATTCTGTAGAATTGTCATAAGATTTTCTCCTTCCATGTGAAGAACAACTAGTACATGTACCAATGTTCCCAAAAGCCAATAAATACATTAAAACCTCATTATTTCATAAGACCCCATTAGCTTAAATATGTGAATCCAACAATGGGGTTTATAAAATAAAATTTTTCAGTCATCCTTTCCCACAAACACAGAGCAGAGGTAAGATTCCATCCTCTATCCCTTTCCAAATATGCTGCCTTTCTTCAAAATCTTCAGAAGGTGCAAAAACCAAATCACACAAATGCCTTTGTACAAGAAAGATGCAAGAAGGAGTCACCTACCAGAGCGCCCACAGTCTGAGCATGATACAAGTTCCTCAGGCCGGCCACTTTTTTTGTTCATATTGGAGCCTCCGAGGCAGAAGTCACAGTAGTTATTGGGAATGATGACCCCATCTGGTCCTTTCTGGGCTGTAGTTGGGTTAGAAATCAGATTTACTAAAAGAGAATTCACTTGCACATTTGCCCCTTATCCTTGATATGTCCTTTTCTTGCTTCACTTAGCTCAGTGAGTTTGCAGGCCACAGTCTTCCCAAAACATTGTCAATCAGAACAAAAAGTAAACTGCATAAGCCACCTCCATTTTAAGTATACCCAGGGTTTGCCTGAACTGGCCTTCACTGTTTCCTTTCTAATCCCAGCCAGGATGCTCCCTCTCAAGGACATGCTTCCAGATATGCCTCTACAGTTCAGGGACTTGTAACACATACAGGTATAGAGGCAATCCCTAACACAGGATAAGACCTATGTTGTCAGTAAACCAAACTTGGTTTTTCAGGCAGCAATCATCATCATAATCCCACAAAATACAAATTCATAAAGGGAAAAAGACAGTCTCCAAAACTCAAAAAACAGTGGGAAGATGTAAGGGATAGGTTTCCCTTACTGGTTCTATTTCAAGTAGCTTTTTAGGGGAAAAAAATCTCTAAGTAGCAGGGTGTCCTTGGTCAGAAGGTTGGTTCAAAAGCTCCTGAATATTCACAGGTAAAGCCTTTTGGGGATGTTTCACCCAAGACTTAAGTCCCCTGCAGCAGTCATGTCCCTTGGGATGAGCAGGAAGGGTTCAACACTACCCCAGCACCCAGCACAGGTGTCGAGTGAGCCTGGTGCAGACATCTAAACCAGCAGTTAAAAATTTTTTCAGCCAAGAAAAAATGAGCAAGATTATATTATTATTTTCCAGCTAGGAATACTTGGAAAGGAGCAGACACACACTGATCTTAAGCAGAGAAGGAGGCAGATCCCTTCGGAAGAAGAGAAGGGTAGAGGTCTTCTTAATTCCTCTTAGTTGAGCAGAACAGAAATGTCCTTTTCTTGCTCACAACTGCCATTTCCCTCCTCTGCTCTCCAGAGAGGGAAAACATCTTCTTGTACACTCTAATTATGAACTGGGGAAGGGAGTGGAGGTAATGGTTGGTCTTTGTTTCTTCTCTTTGAACATAAAAAAATGTAGTTATATACCAGTAGATATACCTGGCCTAGGCCTACTGCCTGAAGAATTATACAAAAGAGAAAATGAAGAACTTTAATCTGTATCATCTCTATTTAATTATCTTTTTAATGCATATTTTGTAACTTGCAGATTTTTAACAGATGTTTCGACAGCCTTTATTAATGGTCTTTTTGTCCACATTCAAATTTCCCCCAAAGAACAATGACATTCTAAAGGGCTTCTGGTAGCAGTCCAAGACATACACTTAAAATTTCCTCCAAGTTCAATCTGCTTTTCTGGTTTGGGTGCATCTAGTTATTCATTTATTTACAGATGTTGATCAGCTGAACTTTTAGAGATTGGTAAGTGAAAGATTCCAGGTAAAGTAAATCTTAGAAGAAAATTAAAACCCATAAGGCTGCAAATACATCACTGTCTTCCTCCATGGTCATGGAGATCCTGACTGTATATACTAAACAGTATTTACTAAACAATGGAGTCATTGCTCTGAAATGATCCTGGTTGACAGATCTCCAACTCTCTCAAAAAAAGAGAGAAGCTCCCAGTGTTAAATTAGCATTTTGTCTGTTCCAAGAAGGTATTTAATACATTCATGCAAGATAAGCAAAAAAAAGAACAGGAACCAGGTGGAAGTCTAGCACACCGGCTCATTTTAAGAGCTGTAACAAAATGATCATAAAGTTGCTGCTGGTACATATTTTGTGTATAAAAAGCAGACCTCCCTAGCATTTATATTTCCCACTGCAGCCCCTTTTTGAAAAAGTTAAGTAATTACCTCTTTATATTATTCTGCATCTACAGACAGGTCACGTGCAATGCAAACTCAGCAAACTCAGAATTCAGTGACTTCTTTTGTTGTTGTTCCTTATTACATTATTTTACCTTTTATCCAAGTGTCTTAAAGTGCCTTACAGATATTAAGATCATATTACTAACCCTCAGTGAGGTCAAAAGCCTCTCTTGCCATTGAATCTAACAAAAGTGTTCTGGACCCTAATTAAGTCTCATGGTGAGGTTGCATTGCATTTTAAAGCTGAAAGCTGGAGGCAGAGTGGTAAACTGGCTTATTCTCAAACACGCAAAAATTCTGTGGTGAGGCCACAAATAAAAACAAGCAGTCAGGGTGCCAGCCAGAAGACTTAGGAAAGAGCTCCACTTCTAACAGTGCTCATAATTGTGTATTTAACACTCTCCATATACTGACTTAAATTTTTTCAGCATGGATTATGACCATAAGATCTACTGACTGTCAAACTAGAAATGCATCAGGGGAACTCAGAAATGCATACACTGATCAATTCATCTGCAGTGTGTGGGAGAGGTGGAGGTTATTTGTTGAGTGTTATAAAGGGATTCTCCCAGACCATTGTCAGGGGAATAAACATAGGGTTTGATCACTCTTCTCTTCTTCTTTCTTCTCTTTCCTTTCTTTTCCATTTTCCCCCTTTCTTTTCATCCTTGTTTTCTTCCAGTTTATTTAATTTTTAATGTGAATGTCTGTGTGCTCACTTACTAACCTGGCTCACTAGAGTGTGATAGAGATATCAGGCCTGAAAAGTCATAGACAGAGGCGAAATTCCTGAAGTTACATCAATGATATCTTAAAGGATATGTATCTAGAGACAAACAAGCCAGGCAATGTTATTCTCTTCAATGTTTTGGTTTGGGTTTTTTTTTGCTCTAACAGGTGCAAAACCTAGAACCAAACATGACTTAAGCTTATTTTCTTCATCAGAACCATATAGTGAATTAAGTCACAGGCTAAATCACAGAAGGTTTGAGAATAAAGAGATTTTCAGATGACAGTAAGCAGCGTTCTTACTTTCAAAGGAACTTTTTTTTGCATATATCCTCAGAGTTTCTAGTTCTATTTTACTGTCATTAACAAATGATGAAGAAATTAGGAAACAAAGGAAAAATGGCAAGATTTAATGTGCAGTCTTCATGAATAGGGTATCATGCAGGAAAAGCTGGACCCTAATCTCACACCTAAATCAATAAAACTACTTACAAAAGTAACTATGGGAATGGATTCATAAGAAAAACCAATTAATTTCCTAGGGAGTTATGTTGCTGCTTTTCATCTGAGACATAGTAATTAACTAGGTATTCACTTTTTTGCATAAGGTAATCCACAAGTAGAAGGTGCAAGTTTAAGCCAAACAGCTCAGCTGGCAAGAACCCTAGCAGAAAGTTGACTCATTTAGATCATGGTGACTCCCTCTAAGGATTCAGTAAAAAAAAAAAACAACTCACCCATAATTAGAAACTGTTTTAAAGCAAAGGTTTGAAAACCAGCCATGGCCTTGTCCTGTCTTACTCAAAACTCTTCTGATTTTCTTTTACATTGCAAACTGCAACAACAGATCAAAAGCTCTGAGGAGTTTTGAGTACTGCCTGAGCTAGAGTTTGCTCATAGGAGGTACATTTAAATCAGTGCCTCTGGCCATTTCAGCTTAGGGTTGTTTTCAGGATTCATCAACATCTTCCCCAAAATTGAGTATACAATTTTTTTAAATACTTTAAAAATTAATTAAGGAGAGACGTGGAAAGATGTGCACAGTTCAAATAATAGCTTCCCTGAACCTGAAAGGTGATTCACATGAAGACAGGATGCAGAGTGAAAATAAAGTCAGTATTTCCAAATAAATTTGGTATGCTCTTATTCTGAAACTTTTTTTTTCTTCTTAGCCTAATCAAGTTAATTTCAAGCTATAACAAGCTGAGCAGAATAAAGAACTTCTTAAAATATGGTATCATCATTCACAGTAGGCAAAGTAAGTTCAGTAAATTACATAAATTATGTAGTATATCACACAGTAACCTTGTTCTGTAGACAAAATCTGAAAACTAAGCAAGTTGACTGAGTTAAATATATAAAATAACTTCTGCACATTCCTAATTTTGAAGGCAGAGGCACTAAACAGAATTCTAGTTTCCCTTCATCCCTCCCAAGAAACCAAAAACCCTGTAAGCTATCTTCTGCATAGTTTCAGTTTAATAATAAAAGCAAGGTGCTTATAATGAAACATCAAGAAATAAGGAATTTTATTTTCTACATCATCTCCTGGAGCCACATGACTCAATAAAAATCCCTAATTTTTAGAGATTAGGAGTTTTCTGTTTCTCAGGGCTGCAGAAAATATCTTGGATGGAAGGCAAGTTCAGAAGCAGGAATCGTTGTCTCTGTTTTTTAAACAGAAAAGATATTTTAAATAGTTTTTCTTCAAAATGTGACCCTTAAATATATACAGACAAACCCCCAAACAAATAGAACCTTGTATCTATCCATTTTTCTGATTTCTAAGTGAAATTATTTTGATGATTTGGATCACAGTCTTCAAAAACTTGGGAGGTGGAACCAGTGCTTAAAAGAAAAACTTGTTTTCTGTTCCAGGGTAAAAAAAATAAGAAGTATGTATGTCACACATACTTCTTCAGCCTGTAGGTAATACAGCACATTACTGAACCATAATTTAAGATATGCATCTAGATTTGGCAGCATTTTATCCCTGTTTTTTGTCATATCCACATTACTGGGAAGGAGATGGAGAATGCATGGAGTGCATGCCTCGCTGCTGGGTGTGGAGCTGTGCATAATTTATTTCAATGATTGCAGTGAATTGGCTACCGTCAGAGATATACACATTCACAAAGGGATTTTTCCTAGCACGTTTTGTCCAGCTCTTACCTGTTTCTTCTGGGTTTGGTCCAAAACCAATAAAGCCCACTGGAGGTTTTCAATTCAATTCAAAAGGCTTTGAATCAGGTCATTTACTCTTTTTTTAACAAGGATCTTCAGAGCACAGTAGAGACCGCAGGACCCTGCATGTAGGCCTGTGTCAAGCCAGTGCACTTCACGATGGAGGGAAAGGGGTGGATTTGCTTTTCTCATTGGGGTTTTGTTTGTTGGGGTTTTTTGTTTAATTTACAAGACTCTTTGTCTGAGATGGGGCCA